TGGCCGCAGCGCTCGGCCCCCTAGCCTGTCCTAACCGCAGCGCTCGGCCCAGAAAGTGTTTTAACCTAACCTAACCCTAAATAAATAATAATAATTTAATTGAAAATTGTTGAAAAAGGGGTCAGGTCCAAAAATCGTTCTCTAGGACGGACCCAATAAGGGACACTTATCGTCCAAGAATCCGAAACAATTCCACTATGAGAGCAAGAAAAATATAAAGAAAAAAAATTGAAATAATCAAAAAATTGTTCTCTAGGACAGACCCCTCAAGCCTATATATATACGCTAACTAACCATACAAAAGTTAGCGTACTAGAGAAGGTTTGAAACCTTGGGAGAAGTCTACTTGAAGTACGAGAATCTAAATATATCGGAGATTTTATGAATGAACTCAGAGGAATGAACAGATAATATAATTTTTATTTCATTGTTAACTGTAATTCATCATTTTTTTTTGTATAAAAGAGTAGTGTTTATATCCTAATTCTTTAAAAATTTTAAATATCCCTCCTTAAACCACCCCACCCCCCTCCCCGATTTGCGTAAAAGATCTTTAAGTAGATCAACCCATGCCACCACTTTATATTCATACATATAAACAGTTTGTTTTTAATCTTCATGGCGTATAAACAATCTCAAGGAATAATAACTGTCTTTAAACATTCTTTAAAAAGTGAATATTTGCAAATTATCTTTTTTCCATTTCATGATCTGAGTTCGTTTCCCTATTCCTGTCCATTTGACGGCCGATTTTTTTTAATAATCTTTTTTGTTTGCTTGTTTATTTTCTTGTGGTTTTTAACATTTATTATTATCCATTTTGATGGTTATTATATCGTTAGAACTGACGAGGGTCAACCCAGACCGAAATATATTTTCAATAATATGTGGATCTAGCATCTACTTTATCTACTCTAGAGAGGTTAAGTTCATCACCATCGCCGAATTTTAAGAAGTAAGCCAGCCAAAGGACAAGGAGATTAATGTGATAAGCAGCGCAACTTTTAGTTTTAGTTTATACCTATTTATTCAAAGGATAATTTTTAGGAAATAAAAATGGATGCTCTGGTGAAAGATATTCAAGCTATCATTGTTCTCCCATCTTCAAGGTTTCCAATTTTAAAATTATTGAATTATTTGTTTCTAACAAAGTTAAAAAGCTGCAAATTTAAGGTCCGTGATAAAGAACGCTTACGGACCCCTCCCTATCCTGTTAATTATGCACATTGCACATGCAGCTTCATTTAAACTATTTTTCAAATTGAAATTAAGATTATTTCATTAATTTAGCGTTTTAGAATATGTAGATTATTTTTGGGCAAAACGCTGCGGCTAGGCTGTGATAGTGGCCTGGCGCTTCTTGCACAACTAAATATGCCATATTTTACTTACAAGATAATTGATAGGAGGGGGGGGGGGGGGCCCAAAAAGCGTTCTCTAGGAAATTACCGATAGTTTTTAATCACATCTTTTAAATATAAGAATGAACTGATTTAAATTTTGAGGGATTCCATGATGAACTATGATTATTCAAATGATTAATATTTCTAATGTAAGCAAGTACACCATTGTACATTTATTTATACTCTAAATCTTCTATTCTGAAATATTTCAATGGACCGTAGATGATCCTCCCATTATTGAGTGGCATGACCCAATTCACAACAGTACCCTTTACATCCCTGTCTGATCAAAGATGAATGAAATGTCCTTATTTTCTACTCGATTTTTTTAAATTGTGGTTTCTTCATAAAAATGTCAGAATTCAGCACATTTTATTTATGATTATCTTCATAATTGTAACTCATAAATAAGTAAAAAAAGAGTACATGTGTGTTAAATCACTTAAAATCACGTATACAGTCCCTCTAATTTGTTTTCAGAGATGAGGTGCATCGTGTCTTCTGGATTCCGGAGAGATGTATCCAGGGGGATACAGATATACTTAACATTCATTTCGCAGGTTTTAATTCTTATATAAACATATTTCCAGGGGGATACAGATATACTTAACATTCATTTTATCTCCTTCGATTAATTAAATGATGTAGCTTTTAACTTCAAAATAATTAGATCAGAAAACAAATATTAATAGCTGTCTGGCAGTTCATTTTAAGTCATGGTTTTTATAAATTGAAATATGAAATATGTACCAATTATAGTCTTGGGGTTGTGCTACCCCAACCCCTTCCTCCTCCTGTCCTTCTTTTATATTGCAAAGACATCATTTTGTTTGAAAATAATTATATATAGTTAAAATTTTTCTATTGACTGCGTATAATCATAAATATTTAAATATATTTAAGAACCATTTCTTACTGTGGGGGGTAAATACTTTTTGATGCTGTGGCCGTGGGGAAAAAAAATTAAAAATCGCTCATTAAAAACGTAAGATTTTTCACCATTTTTGATATTTTTTACCCACAAATTTATTTATTTTCTCCTATAAATCATTAATTCTATCAAATTCAGTGAATAAAACACACACAATGTTATACCTGGGGGGTCGAGAGGGGGGGGATGAATTGAAAAGTATTTATGTAAATGTATTGTGATTAAGGTTCAGAACAGTCAGACTGGTGACTGGTTGGATTTACCAATGGACGCTAGGTTGGTAATTCCGGAGAAAACATGCATTAAAGTTTTCCTTAGCACTCAGGATCCCGGAGCTAGTTTTGGAGTTTATCCTCCTCTCATTCAAACCACCGGAGCAAGGTAGGAAATTATAACAAGTTGGTGATGTTGTGTAAACTTGGTGGTGTTACAACTTAACTATTTTATTTCAAAGAGGGAATCCCAGTCGTTGTAGTTCATGACAGTAATTAACTATGTAGTTCGATTTCACAACAAATTTAACATATAGACAGTAAAAATTCAGAATAATCAAACGATGCTTGTACTCTTCTAACTTTTAATAATTGTTTTTGGATAATTTTTTCAGAAACACTTAAAAAAGATCCAAAAGTTTTTTTGTTTTTTTTTTGTTACAGACGAGATCCCAGAAAGAAGCCAGGAGCAGAACCCAAGGTTCTGAATAGAAGAGATCCTCGACGAAAAAATGTTGACTCTTCAAAACAGACCTTGCATCTGTTACCTACTCCAGTTCCTATAGCTAAAAGATCTTTAACTCCCCAACCTACCCCGGGTATACTCTCCCTGCCCCTCCCATCCTCTGCTCCTGATCCATTTCCTGATCCTTCTCTTTCAGTTGGATCAAACCCGACCTTTCCACTGTTAAACCGAAGAGATCCTAGGAAAAGAAATGATGTCGAACCTGCTCCAGTTCCAGTTCCAGCTCCGAGTTCTAGACTACAGCCTATCTCTCGTCTTCCCTCAGGATTAAGTTCAACAGCCAGCTTATCCTCGATAGATTCCTCCTCCGCTGTATCGAGGAAGGATCCTAGAATTAGAAGGATGAAAACTCTCCCTGCTCCAACGGTCAGTACTGCAGAAGGACCCGGAGAGGAACAGATGATGAACATTATCAAGAATCCGTCTCGGTTATCTGTTCCTTTTAAACAAACTGAAAGTCCTAAATCTGTTTCTAAAACAAACTTTGAGACAGAAGAAAATAATTTTACAAAAAGTTTGATGGACATGGATAAGGACCATACCTCTCCAGTTTATACTACGAGTTTCGAAGAGCATACGATTAGTGATACTCCTGGTTCAGATAATAGCAGATACCCTGCTTTTATGGCTTCGGCTCCTCCTCCTCCTGATTCTACTCCTCTTGCTCCTGTTCCTGCTCCTCCTCTTGCTTATGTTCCTGCTCCTCCTCTTGCTTCTGTTCCTGTTCCTATTCCTGCTCCTCCTCCTCCTCCTCCTGTCAGGAAGATTAGTTTAGAGAAGAGAGGAGATGAATCGGACTCAGAGGGTGAACTCCAAATAGACATGAACCCTCTTGCAGGTATTTTATATAGACATGAACACTCTAGCAGGTATTTGAACTAGAATTTTTAGAGACATGAACCCTCTAGCAAGTATTTAAACTAGAATTTATATAGACATGAACCCTCTAGCAGGTATTTGAACTAGGATTTTACATAGACATGAACCCTCTAGCTGGTATTTGAACTAGAATTTATATAGACATGAACCCTCTAGCAGGTATTTGAACTAGAATTTATATAGGCATGAACACGCTAGCAGGTATTTGAACTAGATTTCATATAGACATGAACCCTCTAGCAGGTATTTGAACTAGATTTCATATAGACATGAACCCTCTAGCAGGTATTTGAACTAGAATTTATATAGACATGAACACGCTAGCAGGTATTTGAACTAGAATTCATATAGACATAAGCCCTCTAGCTGATATTTGAACTAGAATTCATATAGACATGAACCCTCTAGCAGGTATTTGAACTAGAATTTATATAGACATGAACACTCTAGCAGGTATTTGAACTAGAATTTATATAGAGATGGACACGCTAGCAGGTATTTGAACTAGAATTTATATAGACATGAACACTCTAGCAGGTATTTGAACTAGAATGTATATATACATGAACACAATCAGATATTTAAATGAGTGAACACAACTTTAATTTTAAAATGATTCTTTTTGCGTAAAAAAGTATTCCTGAACAGTTGGTATGAAACAGGGCAGCCAGTAAAACTTAAGCGTCATCAACATTTTTAGACTGGGGGGGGGGGGGGTTTTTCACGGTCCTTGTACAGAAAACATTAGTACCCAGTCACCGGAATGTTAACTAAAAGTCTGATTAAAAGAATAAGGTGAGGTGATTGAAATTTTCTTATATACTCCGCCAGGAGTCCTGAAAATAATCCTAACATATACATAAACTAGGTACGGAAACCAAACTCCTTCTCTAGTTTGACTGAATTTTTATTTTATTAGCTGAACTAGCCATGCTTAGTTAAACTACTTCTCCCTTTTCATTAATTCCGACCTCAGTTTAATTCAAATTCTATTTCAGTGAAGCGGCGTATCTCCAGTGATGAATATAAACCTGGTCCTAGAGAAGCTGAACCTGTATCCCAGGTTTCTTGTATTGCAGATGCAATCACTAAATCTGACAAGGTGGAGAGAGCGGAGGAGTTGTGGGATGAGGTCTACGGAGAGTATCAGAAGGTATTTTTTGTCTTGCTTTTAAAAACTGGATTGAATTTTATTTTATGGATTTACTTTCTAAATATTAGATGGGAAAATGATGATTTAATTCCAGTAAAAATTAAAAGATGTAACAAAAAATCCTCAAAATATTATACTATAATGATAAGCAAAAGAGATACGAGACTTCAGAGACAACTGAAGTGTATGTAAAAATAGAATATATAATAATAATAATATAATAATAAATATTGTGTTTTTTCCCACCCTGTTCGTTAAGTTGGTCTTATTTTTCTTTAACGTTTAATGTTTTAAATTAATGTTTAAACAAATTTTTGGGCATCAAATAATCTCTTGTTCAGAGATCAGCAGCTGATCGAAAAGAGACAGAGGAAATCCTATCTGTTACTTCTAGTTCTCCGTCTCCTCCCCCGACCCGGAGAATAATTCTTGCAGGTCAGGAAATTGAACCTGTCATTGTTGATCTCGGATCCGAATATTCATCCCCGGTCGGAACTCCGAAATCAACCAGAAGTGGAGATGAAGACGAGGATAAATACAATGATGAACTGATTGAGAAACTGAAAAAGGATATGGAACAGAGTAAGAAGACTCTAGACCAATTGGAGAAGGAGAAGGAGATGTTACAGAACCTGGAGAAGGAGCGGGACCGACTCAACTCTATCAGGGAAGAGTCAGGGGCAACACAATCCGTCCGAAGAGAACTAGAGGAAGGAGAACTATCAGATTCTGACGAAGAAATAGTCCTCTCTGACGGGAAAGATAGTGATTTTTCTCCGGAGAGTCCTCAGTGTGATCTTGGAGAAAATGAGACTTCTTCAAAACCGCAATCAATCATTCCATTAGAACGAATAGATACAGACGGGGAAGCTAGATCCACCGACGGCGAGGCTAAGTCGTCCGACGACGAAGTAGAAATTCTTGCTGAAAAGGAGAAACCGAAAGAATTTCGGAAGTATTGGGAAGACTTTGATGAAGATAACGAGAGTACAGAGGATGAAGAAAAAGAAAAGATTGAGGAATTACAGGAAGAAAATGTTAAAAAATCAGATAATCTGAAAGATGTGAATAACGAGGAGAAGATAACCAGAGTGAATCCAGAAAAAGAAACTCCCAACGAAAACTTCTGGAAAGCTGCTCTGCTTGATATTGAAAAGAAAGTTGAAGATCATAATCTTTTCCAGCGGCGGGAGGATTTAAACCTTATGGAGGAAACTTCAAAATTCTTCTCTCGTCGAACAGATATCTTGGAAGAGGATGATAATCATTCTTATGAAAATTCTTCTGAAAGATCAAGTGAAGATCAAGTTTCAATGAAGAAATCCGGACAATACCAGAACCCCGCTAAGCCAGAACTAATATCAGGATACGAGAATTCTGTGAAAGAAACACTAACTAAAGCACTTCAACTAATCCGTGAAAAGTCTGGTAATGTAGGGCCCAGGATTCCGGGTTCGGAGGATTCTCAGGGTACATCTACATCTGGAGGACAAGGAGAAGAAACTAAATTTGTTCTGAACGAAAGCTGGTACAGGGAGAAAGGTTTTACCAAAACATCATCATTGGGTTCAGACTCAAGCCATTCATTGGGACTGGGTTGTTCAGATCAAATCCAACCGAGAAATGTGGGAAATTTTAATGAATCCGGCATGCACACAAGGCAAAGCATGCCTTCTCTTCCTGATGCGCTGTCGTTTCAAGGCATGCAGTTTGGGGTTAGCACGTCCTCTGGATCCAGTATGCAGTCAAGACCTTTCATTCTCTCGGAGCAAGGCATGCAGGCGGGATCTGTTATGTTTTCTGGACAAGGAATGAAGTCAGGATCAAGCATGCTGTCTGGACAGGGAATGTTCTCTGGATCTAATATGCAATCAAGGGGAATGCAATCCCATGGAACCATGCATTCTGTTGGTGGTATGAAGTCTGGCGGGGACATGCAATCAGGCATAGGTAAAGAATCGGTTGGCGGCATGCAATTCGGTGGAGAAATGCAGTTTGGTAGTAGTTTGCAAAATGTTGGTGGAATGCAATCTGGTGTAGGAATGCAATCTGGTGTAGGAAAGCAATCTGGTGTAGGAATGCAATATGGTTTAGGAATGCAATCTGGGCAATTTACTCCACGTACAGTTTCATTAACTGGAAATTCTAGTATACTTGGCTCTCCACCTACCCTCGGATACTCTTCAAACCATCTTCAATCTACTCCTACTACTCTTGGATACTCTTCTAACCATCCTCAACCTACTCCTAGCTCAGCTTTTTTAAACTCAGTCTTTAAGGTAAATTATTCTTTTTTTAAAATCTTTTGAACCGGGGGCGGGGGGGGGGTTATATATTTTGACACTCAACCCTCACAGTCCTTTCGTTAAATATGATCAATGCTCATTTTGAACGATCTGTTTTAAGACAAAAAGATGTTATACTGTTGACGTAATTTCAAGTGACCCTCAATTAACAGCAATACCCTTAAAAATTGTATCTTCATGAATGAGTGTGATATTAATGTTGTGAACTTTGAAAATTGATTATTTTCAACCGTGGTTGCTCCAAAAAGTGACTTGCGTATTGCTGCTAAAGAAACAATGGAGATAATTGTCAGAACTCAATATTGCTTTAAAAATAAAAACGACGATATCTTCGACATTATTAATCAGATATGAGATTTAAAGGGTACCGTTGTGAATCGGGCATGACCCTCTTGAAATGAAGAGTTAGTTGGAATTACGACAGTATTTTTATTTTGATAGGAGAGCCAGTTAATATCTGAGAAGCTGAGTATTATCAGCGCCAGCTTGTCTGGGGTTGGAGGAATCAAACCAAACTATGCGTTTAATAACCAGCAGACCCTAGATACTGCTAAACCTTATCCCGGTACTCCAACATCAGTTCATCCTACCCCCAGCCCAGCAGGACAAACTAGCACCAGCTCTTTACCCAAACTCATGAATATAAATATATCTCCCAAAGACATAAACCTAACCAGGAAAGATAAACTCCAAGGAGGAAAATCCTTTAATCATAAAAACCTGTGGAACACTTCTAACCCTAAGTTTGATAGTCCTGGTCGTCAGGGGAAATCCAGAGAAGGAAGTGAGATCAATCACGGGATCAAGAGGTTAGAAGAGAAAATTAGACATTCAGAACCTAAAGAGATAAAACGACGAGAAAGGGATAGGGACGGATCGTCTTCAGATCGACGCGGAAGCTCATCATCAAGAAAGCTCAGTTCCTACAAGTCCTCTAGATCAAGATCAAGGTCAAGGGATAGAAGACGAAGATCAGGAACTAGTCCCAGAGATTCACGAAGACGATACAATCGTTCCAGATCTAGAGATCGAAGGTCAAGAAGTCGATCTATGGATCGTAAACGACGGAAGGAGGATCCACGAAGTATAAAGGTTGAGGTTGGGAAGGAGGATAAGGATAATCTGATGCTCCATTTCTATGAGGGAGACCAGTGTGATTTTGAGGATCCAGGGGACCCGGATATCCCGGAGATTCTTCCCACACCTGTTCCAGGTCTTGCATCTAGAAACCCGGAGAAGGAGAAGAAACTAAAACTCGGAACAGAGTGCAAAGCAACTGATAACCCGGTGGTAGTTCCGTCCTGTTCGGAGGAGACCTCTGTCAATGTCAGAGCTCCGGTAACCACTTCAGTGGAAGGAGTAAAACCAAAGTTGAATATCAACCTGGATGAAATACCGGAACCACAGTTCCCAAAACCCGTTCCAGTCAATAATAAAGTTACAGCGTGTGGTCCTCTCAGAATAAACCCAAAGGAAAATTCTTCATTTTAGATTTTTCATATTTTGTTCACACATTAAGATCTTAAGAATTCATTCAAATTACACTCAACCGCTAAAGGATATTTATTAAGTTAAATGTTTTTTATACAAAGTATAAATGATTTTAAACTCTGAAAAAGTGGTAAAGGACTTGAAGTTTGCGTAATTACCTTTCTAAAATGAATAAATGGATCTAGGACGGAGAGTTGTATGTTGCCACGCTAGGATTAAGTAAGATGCATCCTGTGTCCCAGCTGCATGAAGTGTGCAAGCGGTTAAACTATCCTAAACCCGAGTTTATCGAGCATAAGGAGAACGACCTATGGAGCTGCGAGGTCAAAGTCGGAGATGAATTGTTTAAATGTGCCGGAGCCAAAACCAGGAAGAAAGAGGCTCGGATCGAAGCTTCGAAACATGTTCTTAAAGTTATTGGGATTCATAAATAACTATTTTTTTACTTAAAAATAAATTCTGTAAATTAGATTTTACTAAGTTCCTGTCCGAGACAATATTATGTTTCTTAATTAAATTTTGGCTGTGATTTAAGATTTGAAAATGCGGGAAGTGGTCAGCTGGTGATTTTAAGACGTGATCAGCTACTAAATGGATGAAGTGATCTGCTACAAAATGCCATCCAATGTGAGAATCTAGGTATATTTAAAGTTCTTTTAAGGTTTTACAAAGATTAATGAGATGTAAAAAAGGGCCTTGCGAAACTTCCACTTCTCACTTAAATACGAAAAAAGTGATTGATTAAAAAATACTAAATTAATTTGTTGATTTTTTATATTAAGTTATTTATCCAGGGTAAGAGTCCTGTACGACAGAATTGTAAAAATGAATAGCAGAACTAGGTTTGCTAGAGCCATGGAAGAGATTCTGCTCTAATGGGAGCATGCCTAGGTAAAAAAACCGAATAATAAATCTGTAAAATTTGTTTATTTGTTGATATTAAAGAGGCTTTTGAATTAATTTAAAAGTTTGTTATCAAACTTAAAGTTCTATGATGCAAAATAACCCCTCTGTTCTATTAGAGAAGGAATTTTTTAAAATATTGACTAGCAAAAATGGCCAAAATGCGGAACATTCAAATACAATGCGACGGTAGAGCTTGAGAAACTGGAGTGAGGGCGTACGGTAAAGGGGAGTAAGAGAAAGCCAAGTAGTTAGTAGAAACGTGTAAAGCAAGGACGTTATAGTGTACACCGGTACAAGCAGAGAGATTTCCCCAGATGTCGTCTTCACTCAGATCAACTCGCAGGCATCTGTCCGTGACCTAATTAAACATATTTGTTTAAAGATTATTAAATGTTGCTTAGAGTCGCGCTAACAGTCTCTTAAACTACTTATTTTCCAGGTGTTCCTGAGCGGAGAGGAAGCGGAGTAGGTTCCGCTTTCTCCGACTCCTCTTTGTCTCCGACTACAAAGAATAAACCGCTCAAGGAGGAGAAAATTAAATGGAAGTCGGACATTCCACTGACGGGTAAGCAGGACAGGACAGAGGATAGGGACAGAAAAGGACAGGGACAAGAATAGGACAGGGTCAGGAACAGAACAGGACAGGGTCAGGAACAGAACAGGACAGGAGCAGGAACGGAACAGAACAGGACAGGGACTTCGATGCGACAGGATCAGACCAGAATCGACCCAGGATTTGGAAGACCAGGACTATACCAGTATATTATATTTAGAGTTCCAATTGACCCGTAAAAGAAATGAGTTCTGGGACACCGCTCCAGCTTTTGAAGGAAAATCTGAGGTCTGGGCAGCCCTTAAGGAATAGATATTGTAACATACTTTCTAGCAATAATATTACTTCTCTTGTATTTTCCAGATCCACCTTGAACCTCCTAGGTCCTCCTTAATCTTTCTAAATCCTCAAGAATCCTCCTTTAGCTTCCTAGATCCTCTCAGATCTTCATAAATCTTTCTTGATCATCCCAAGATCTTAATACATCCTCCTTGATCTTTGTAGATCCTCATTATCCTCCCTTGAATTTCCTAGAACCTCTTTGATCTTCCTAGACCCTTCTTGACTTTCCTAGACCCTTCTTGACTTTCCTAGATCCTCATTGATCTTCCTAGATCCAACTTGATCATCTAAGATCCTCCTAGATCCTTCTCTATCTTACTAGGCTCTCCTTTATCCTCGCAGATCTTTCTTGATTCTTTTAGATCCTCCTTGAACTTCATGAATCCTCATAAATCTTCCCTTATTATCTTAGATCCTTCATGCACTTTTAGATTCTGCTAGAATTCTGCTAAATATTTCAAAATCTTTTTTTGATATTAAAATTAAGTATCCAAGAATATACCAGAGTATTCTAGAGTTTCCTTTGGGATTGATTTTTATCACCAATGAAATCATTATTTTCGTGTCATAAACAATGTTTCCTCTTGTTTTATTTATTATAATGTAAATTCTTGGCTACAATATTGTTTATGCAAGGCTGCAACTGATGCTGTAAGTAAAGACGACTATTCCCTGGCTCAGGCAATCCTAGATGGAGCGGGCATATCATTACCTGGAGGTATTCTGTTAAAGTTTGCTTTGATTAATCTTTGCAATTTTTTTATCCTAAAAAAATGGAAAAACTGTCCAGAAATGATCGTTACAAAACCTTCGTTTTTGGATAATTTTTGTTTCTTTTTTTTTAATATATTTTCTAATAGGGTCCGAAATTTGACAAAGTTTAAGAATATCAACTATATAAAGTAAACAATTTTGACCCTTTAAGAACATTTATGCAATAAACGACTGTTTATTTTAGGTTCTCTAGTAGAATGCTATAATAAGCTGGGTACTAGGTACTCTATATACTTATATAGACTGTATATTCTAGGTTCTCTAGTAGAATGCTATAATGAGCTAGTTACTAGGTACTCTATATACTTATATAGACTGTATATTCTAGGTTCTCTAGTAGAATGCTATGATGAGCTAGGTACTAGGTACTCTATACCTATTTACTGTTTATCTTGGCCAGCGAATCTCATCTCAGCAACAGACAGGTAAAAACATTTTATTTGTTTGTCAAAAATTGATACCTTTAAAAAAAACGCATTTTTATCTTTTCAAAACTCCCAAGGTTATCAAGACTATAGATCAGGTTTTAAAACTCTCAAGGCTATCATATCAAGACTCTCTTCTTGTTTTAAAACTGCCAGGTTTATCAAGACTCTCTACATCTTGTTTAAAACTCTCAAGGTTATCAAGACTCTCTACATCTTGTTTAAAACTCCCAAGGTTATCAAGACTCTCTACATCTTGTTTCAAAGCTCCCAAGGTTATCCAGACTTTCTAACTCTTGTTTCAAAACTCCCATGCTTTTCAAGACTCTTTAGATCTTGTTTTAAAACGCCCAAGGTTATCAAGACTTTCTAGAACTTGTTTCAAAACTCCCAAGGTTATCAAGACTCTTTAGATCTTGTTTTAAAACGCACAAGGTTATCAAGACTCTTTAGATCTTGTTTTAAAACACCCAAGGTTATCAAGACTTTTAATTCTGAATTCTCCAGGTCATGAAAACACTTGAAATATTTGAATACCAAAATGTTTATGCTAAGGGACAGTCCTGCTGAGTTTTCTGAACCTGTGATAATAGATCCTGTGGAGCTAAAGGTAGGATTCATTTAAACGAACTCTAAATTCCGTTTCTAGAGTGGCATTTCCGATTCAAAACACTACCCTTTAGATTATTTGTGGCATATTTTAATGGTCCAAATGTTGTTCAATATCATATATTGGGTGTAACGAGTACAGTTTAATACTAGATAAACACCTGGTTTAGGTTAAGATTTGGTAAAGTTTGACAGGGTTGGATTTAAAGATAAACCTAAACCATACTGATTATGTTTATGAAGATTCGGATAAGTTTGACGGATTGGTTCTAAAGATAACTAATAATGTTCAGGTTAAGGTTCGGATAAGTTTGATAGGGGTTGAATCTAAAGATAAACTTGAACCATACTGATTATGTTCAGGTTAAAGTTCGGATAATCGGATAAGTTTACTGGGTTGGATGTGAATTTGAACCTGAACTCTACTGATCATGTTCAGGTTAAGGTTCGGATAAGTTTGACAGGATTGGATGTGAAACTGAACCTGAACTCTACTGATCATGTTCAGGTTAAGGTTCGGATAAGTTTGACAGGATTCTGAACCTGAACTCTACTGATCATGTTCAGGTTAAGGTTCGGATAAGTTTGACAGGGTTGGATGTGAAACTGAACCTGAACTCTACTGACACTATTTCTGCTGCGAAGAAGAAGCTTGCTGAGCAGGAGGAATTACCAAATGATTCTCGACAGCGTTGGTACTACGGGGGTAAACTCCTCGGTAATAATTTTTTAAAAAGTTTATAAGGATTAATGGTTTTATCAAATAAAAATAAGCGATAAAATATTTATAATATTGCTCTAATGTGCAGTTTATTTTTATTGTTTTATTTTATCAAAAGGAGAGTCTTCAAAACAACAATTTTTAACATGGCACCCAACTTGTTCAGATGTTTCATCTTGTATTTATTATTCTATTCCTTAACTTTTGTAATTTGAATTTAATCTGATTTTTACTCTAGGAGACAGAACCAGGATTGGTGAAGCCAATATTCCTCCGAATCATCTTATTCAATGTATCGTCAATATTTTGGAGTTTGATATTATTCAAACTCAGTGAAAATAATATTTGTCTCAGATCAAAAGAACGGATAGGAATTCTGAAAACAAGGATCTTTAACTCCAGATTAATTTTCTTTCTTTAGGTTTCATTCCTATCTCCAGGTTTTAGATCCTGTTCTAAGTTTCATTCCTTTCTCCAGGTTTCATTCCTTTCTCCAGGTTTCATTTTTTTCCTAGGTTACATTCCTTTCTCTAGATTACATTTCTTTTTCCAGGTTTCATTCCTTTCTCAAGGTTTCATTCCTTTCTCCAGGTTATATTCCTTTCTCCAGGTTATATTCCTTTCTCCAGGTTTCTTTCCTTTCTCTAGGTTTCATTTCTTTTTCCAGGTTGCATTACTTTTTCCAGGTTGCATTCATTTCTCCTGGTTTCTTTCCTTTCTTTAGGTGTCATTCCTTTCTCCAGATTTTGTTCCTTTTTCCAGATTTTAGATCCTACTTCAGGTTCCCTTTCTTTCTCCAGGTTTTGTTCCTTTCTCCAGTTCTTATTTCTTTCTCCAGGCTCCCTTTTTTCGAGGTTTTGTTCCTTTCTCAATGTTTCATTTGTTTCTCCAGGTTTTGTTCCTTTTTCCAGTTCTTATTCCTTTCTTCAGGTTACCTTTCTTTCTCGAGGTTTTGTTCCTTTTCCCAGTTCTCATTCCTTTCTCCAGGTTTCAGTTCCTACTCCAGGTTCTTTCAAAACCTGAATGTTACTATATGTGTATAATATAATCTCACAAAGATGTATAAAATTCTTTGGTTGCCATTATAATGTATACAAATTGTTTTAAATTATTTTAAATTTTTCAGCTTATTATTTTTATAAGATATTAATTGATACTGTACACATTTAAATTAATCTGGTTTCCAGGGTCGGGAGATTTACTAACTATGTTGAAGATATGAAAACTGCACTCGGTTCTGAATGTTGTAAAATATACTGTTCAAATTGAAATTGATGTGTCAAATTATACCTTATTCTTGTCTAACCCTAGTCAGTAGCCAGTCAAACTCATTAATTTGGGACACACCGCAGGGGTACATTTTTTATTTGTTAGTGTGGGTCTAACCCCTCCCCCCTTAGAGCTTAGGGTCTTTGTGTTACAATATCCAAAAGAATACTTAAAAATGTTCAATTTCAGGGATTTGCTAATGTCCGAAAGAAACAACTGATAAAATGATTTTCTTGGTAGCTACACTTTTACCTAGTTTTTTCTTGAAATAGCTCCTAGCTTGTTATAATTGAAGGGGAAAATATTTAAAGATTAAAGTCCTCGGACCCATAAATCAACTTCAAACTTCAAGTCAATCCGGCTTCATTTAAAGTTTAATCATCCATTAATTAAATAATTAAATAATCAGCGATCTTCAATCACCTAAACTTCTCATATCTTAATATGGCAAATTATTTATTGCTTAAAAACCAAGATCAAAATTTACTAAGTTTATCGCACAAAATCTAATGCTCAATCTTTCTGATATTTTTTCAATTAACAAATTTATTTGTCTGAAAAGTTTTTTGCTTTGATTAAAACTGTTAAAAAAGTTTAAACACTAATTTAAACAGTTCTCAAAAGATTAAACATTGATCTAAATAGTTCTGAATAGATTAATCATTTATCTAAACCGATCTAAATAGATTAAGAACTAATTAAAACAGTTCTGAATTGATTAAATACTGATCTTAACAGTTCTAAATAGATTAAACACTGATTTTAAAAGTTCTGAATAGATTAAACACCAATTTAAACAGCTATGAATAGATCAACACTAATTTAAACAGTTCTAAATAGATAAAACCCTATTCTAAACAGTTATGAAAAGATAAAACGTTAATTTAAACAGTTCTGAATAGATTAAACACTTATCTAGACAGTTCTAAATAGATTAAACACTGATCTAAGCATTTCTAAATAGATTAAACACTGATCTAGACAGTTTTTTATAGAGTTAACACTTATCTTAACAGTTCTGAATATAATAAACACTGATCTAAACAGTTCTAAATAGATTAAACACTGATCTAAAAAGTTCTCAACAGATTAAACACCGGGATTAAAACTGTTACTGTACAATAAACACTGACCTAAACAGTTTTGAATAGATTTAACACTTATCTAAACAGAGCTGAAATTTTAGAATGAGATATCCTTATTCCCAATTACTTAATCTGAGTATCCAATGGACACACTTTAGATTTTCTTCTTAAATCGTTCTTTCTTGGATAGAGTAGCGAAAATCAAAAACCGTTTTTTTTTTATTTAGAAAGTTCCTCCCGTTTCTGTATATAATCTTATATGGCGCGCAAAATTTAAAATTTATAGGCTTCATATATGTGACTCTGATTGGTTGAATTTTATACACTTTTCAGGATACAAGTACAAGATTAAGTTAGTCTCGATATTAGCAAAAAGAGGGAATCAAGCATTAATCTCAATATCCACCATTCTAAAGTTTTCAGCTCAGTTCTGAATAAATTAAACGCTGATCTAAACAGTTCTAAATAGATTAATTTAAACAGCTATGAATAGATAAAACACTGATCTAAACAATTCTGAATAGATTAAACACCAATCTAACCAGTTTTGAATACATTTAACACTAATTTAAAAAGTTCTAAATGGATAAAGCACTTATCAAATAGATAAAACACTAATCTAAACAGTTCTATATAGATAAAGCACTAATCTTAACAGTTCTGAATAGATTAAACATGCACCAATCTAAACAGTTCTGAATAGATAAAACACTAATCTAAGCAGTTCTATATAGATAAAACACTAATCTTAACAGTTCTGAATAGTAAAAATACCAATCTTAGCAGTTCTGAATAGATTAAACATGCACCAATCTAAACAGTTCTGAATAGATAAAACACTAATCTAAACAGTTCTATATAGATAAAGCACTAATCTTAACAGTTCTGAATAGTAAAAATACCAATCTCAGCAGTTCTGAATAGATAAAACACTAATCTAAACAGTTCTGAATTGATAAAACACTAATCTAAACAGTTCTGAATAGATTAAACACTGATCTAAACTGTTCTGAATAGATTAAACACGGATTAAAACGGTTCTGAATAGATTAAACTCTGATCAAAGCTGTTGATTAAACACGTATTTTAAATCAAATGTTATTTAATGTTTCAAGTTATTGTACACTAAAAGTATAGAAATATATAGTTAACGTAAATTGTGATAATTCTTTTTGATAATGAAGTAAATTAATGTGTAGATAAGACCAAAGTAAAGGGAACAAGAAAATTGCCCTAATTGAAAGCTATACTACCAGGGGGCGGAAACGTTATGTATGGTCTGTATTAAAAGAGTGTGTGGAGTATGAACCGAAGGCGTGTGCTGTAGGCATATACAGTACATAATAATCGCGCGGTATTTCTACAGTCTAGGAGAGAACATTTGTTTATTGTTAATTGTTTACTTTAAAAAAAAATTTAATATACATGTATAGTATATTATTTATATATTTAAGTTAACACTATAAACCATATTGTCAACCAAAGAATATAATTTGATTAAAGTTTACAATAAACTACTCGATATTTTAAGCTTAATTATAATTGACGACATTGTTCTGCAACTGGCATTTTCATGCCAGACCAGCGCCATTTCCCTTCCCTTTTTTTCTTATTTCCTGTATACTACATCTTTTTTGACGGTTGGTCTGGACTACTAGTTTTAGTTGCTGAATGCAATTGAAGGTAGAAATCCAAAAAATCTAAAGTAAAAACATTCGCCATTTTTAAGATCAAACAAACAAATAGATTATGAAAATTATGAAAAACTCGCGTGCTTCTTTAAAATGATAAATTTCGTCATAAGGTTCTCTATAAATATTGATTTAAACAATTCTTTAGGAAACAATGTGACAAAGCGTTCAGCTTTGCAGTTTATACACTATAGCAAAAAATCTGGAAAAATCCTCAATTTTGTTGGAAACGTGATGGAGAGAAGACTTGTGTAAGTTGAACTCTGATAATTACAAAAGTACAAAATGACTGAAATGATGACGAAGAGGCCGTTAAGCAGCGACATCCTTATTTATTTATAAGCCTGAGTCTGTTTTTGAGGCCGAATTTAAGCCTGGAAAATAATTAATTCGGAGCACGTGTTCAGATACACCTCTAAGGTAATTGTTTTTATTTGAAAAACTTGTATGTAAATAGGGTTTCCACGAAATGGCTAAATCTTTTGCGCAAAATTTGCGCTATTTTCGCGCAAATTTTTTTTTGCGAACTTTTGGGCTATTTTAGCGCATGAAACGCAATGAGTTTTGCGCTATTTGCGCAAAACCGGAAATATTTGTATTATTTATTTATTATTAGTTTTACGCAAAATGTAACTTTTTAGACAAATTGTCAAAAATTGATATTCTAAGCTTAGAATTAAACAACTGAAGATTTATTCCATACATAGAAAAAAATATTAACATACCAGTATTATAACGATTATACTACACTCAATTGGTTACTTCCAGTTACAAAAAGTTTAAATTAAGGGACCAAAATTAATAAAATAGAAATTAGATAGTTTGAAACTTTGCAATATTTTAATCCTATTAAATAATTTCAAGTGACCCTTAAAAGCTTTGCCTAATCAAGTTTGAATTATATTCTTAAATTTGTTTTATCACATTTCTGAAATCTTTTTAATCTCATATAAAATAATGCAAGAAAGTAACCAATGCCTGAAGAATTCACTTTTAGGAAATATGCATGTCCAAAACTAAAATTGTCGAGAAAATTGTGAGATTTGAACTCTTCTTAACTGTCATTGGTCAATTATGTAAAAGTGACCAGTAGGAAGACATTCCAAAACAAGATTTTTCCAGAATTGAATTCTAAGAAACACACACCGTCCCCAACCGTTTGATTTTTATGAAATTGCGGAATTGCGCAAAACTCTAGTTGCGGAATTGTGCAAAACTTGAGTTTCGCAAAAGCGGAATAGCGCAATTTTGCGCGAAAAGACTTTTGCGAATTATTGCGCAAATTGTTGTTTTTTCGCGCAAAACTGATGCGCAAAGAAAGAAAAAATTTGCGTTTCGTTCCGCTAAAATTACGCAAAAGTTTTGCAAATGGAAACCCTATATGTAAATATCAGTTAAATTAATATATTAAAAATATTTTTACAGGATATGTTACTGCAAACTAGACAGGGTGAGATGGTCAAATTTTTTATTTTAAGGCCAAGTTTTAGAAACGATTTATCCGGTTACACGTTAAACATTCAAAATTTATAATTATAACTATAAAGAATAATTTTTTTAAGGGAAAATTAAGTATTCTGTGTATTGTAAGTCTTTTATCCTTGATATACAGTAGCAACCAGAATATTGAAATAATTCTTTGTATTTTGCAGATGTTAACTGATACTATAATAGGAACATATTTAGAAATGAAATATATGGAAATTACAAAATCCAAAGCGACATTTCACAATGAGACGTATATCAATCCTCTGTTTCTGGCTACTATTGTATGGAACAGTATATAAATTCTTCATTTCTCTCATTTGTTTTAACAGTGAAAATTATCGTACTGGTAATCATCCTAAATTATTTTGAATTTTATTTTCTATGTAGAACGTTGATATAAAAAGTGTTTTCATCAAAATGCCTAAAGGTTATCCTATTCCATGATATAAAACCCCCAGGTTTAATTGGGACTGTTATGAATTGTTCTTGGTACACTTTATATACTGTGAATACCTGGAAACTCCATAAATAAAAGAAAATCTCAACTTTTTAGATTTATTAACATGCTGGGCCAATCATACACATAACACAGCAGATTAAGTTCAGTTTGCATCATCAGAAAATATCACAATTAATATTGTAGAAAAGTTGGGAGGGGTTTGTGCAAACTAAACATTTTGGAATCCTAGGTTTTTTTCTAAGTTATTTTGTTTTGTTGATGCTTTTTTTGATTTTTTTGGTTTTGTTCAGATACTGATAAAATATGATACATACAATTTTCAATATTTCTAAAAAGGTTTTAGCTCTAATAAAAATTAATGTTGATTTTACAGGCTTTATCTAAAAGTATGTCAGATTACATACTGAACAAAGGTAGTCTAGTCTTCTTTAACAATTTTGTAGATGTAGATTTATATACAATTTACATAAATATTTCATTTGCCACATATTCTTAAACATTTGCAGTCTCACAGGGTTATATTTAATGCAGAAAATTATTTTTGGGTGACTCTGTATTTTAAAATAAAGAAAATATTATTGATGAAATATTTAATTATCCAGCCTACCCTGTTAGTTTACACAATTTGAATTTAAATTAACGATTTTGGAAATGTTTCTAAATTCATATTTTCGAGGACAATTTTTCCAAGGTTGCTAAGAAACCCTCATAGTGTATCTTACAAAAGTTCTACACGGTTTCCCACAAAGGATGCGACATCTTTCACGATCTGAATCTTTTAAAATATAACAAATATAACGACCTAGTTCTGCTTTGAATGTATAGTCTATACACTATGAACATCTAATGATTAAGAACCGAAATAAACAAGTTTACAGTGTTGTCTTGTTTATCGTTTTCCCTCGTTTTTTTAAATGATTTTAAAACTGTGATCTGTTGAAGTTTTTTTTATTAAACTTTGTAATATTAATATTCAAAAATAGTCATTATAATTCTTTCTCTTTTTTAACACGTTTGTTTTTGGATTGTTTTTGTATATGATTTGGGTCGTTTTTTGGCCGTTTTTTGGCCGTTTTTGGACTGTTTATGGACCCTTTTTTGCATATATACTCTGTTAGGGTCAAAATTTTACATGTGTAAGAAAAGCAAATGCTTAGAATAAACGAAAGAAATTAGAAAATAGACTGAAAACAATTTCGCACACCGTCGCGCGTTTCTGAAGTCTCATCCTTTGTTGGGAACGCTGGTAGCCAAAAGGGAAAAACCGTTGGAGTTTTTTTAGCAAATGCCCCTTGAAATGTACTTGACACTTAATTACGTTGCAACGCACTATGATTTAGATCTCCTGGAAAATAAGTTTTTACTTTGAACTCATTTTTATCATTTATAATTTAAAAAAGAGAATAATTTACATTAATTTATTTCTAAAAAAATATAATTGTTTGACAAGTTTCTTGGCTTAATGAATACGTTTTTGTTTTAAAACAATTCTTTGGTTATTTAAACATCATTCAAATTATCAAGATATTTGTTTATTTTGGCCCTGTTCCTCTCATTAGAGTTTATCATAATCTTTGATGAAATAATTCTCTTGATTCCTCGATCATCCTGCAGATCAAACACATAAATCATTAAATACGTCATTAAAACCTCTTGGATCAATGTTGACAGTAGCATTTTGTGCCATGTCAGCACTTTTTCCTTAGTAAAATTGTCTAAACTAGGCTTACAGGGCGCTTCACGCCCATCTTTTTTTTCAATTGGGAACATTTTCTCTTTGTATACATTGTAAAACAAAAACAAACAAAAAAATCGCAGATTTTATAAAAAAAAAAATTGTGGATTTTCAAAATTTGATGAAAATCAAATTTTGTTGGAGGCTAATTTTTAAAGTTTTATCGTCCATAAACCTTCACGGGTTCATGTGAAGTCCCGTTCAAAATTTGGGCCCGATCGGTTTAGCCGTTTTGGCGATTATTGGATAAAAACAAACAGACAGACAAGCAAAGTATATATATGGATGATATGTATGTTCTTTTTACTATTTTTTACTGACCATATAAACTCACTTGCATTTGTATGTGAAAATTGTTAGTTTAAAAAAGATTTTAGTTTCCTTGAATATATTCTGAGCATCTCCTCTCTAGCTCCCCTTGCCTCTCCCAGCTCCCTCCTTAGTGCTCTACCCTCCTCCCGGAGCCGAGATACCTCCCATCTATAAACAATAATATAATAATAACCAACTCCCTTCTCAGTGCTCTACCCTCCTCCCGGAGCCGTGATACCTCCCATCTATATTTACAATATTATACTAATAACCAACTCTCTTCTTAGTGCTCTACCCTCTTCCCGAAGCCGAGATACCTCCCATTTATATATATGTACAATATTATACTAATAACCAGCTCTCTTTCTAGTGCTCTACCCTCCTCTCGGAGCCGAGATACCTCCCATCTATATACAATAATATAATAATAACCATACATAGAACGTACACCAGGCACATGGGAATAAATTCGAGTTGGTCCTTCTGCTTAGCATAAAATGGTCTGGACAGGAAAATTGTCCAAAATGGAGGGGGAGGGGGGCTTATCCTTAAGTTAAACCATTCGTAGCTAGTTCAACTACATTCATTATTTTTACACTAAAAAATATTTCAAATGATTCTCACCTGAGCTGTTCCTCATCAATCCCGGATAAATCCTCATCCTCCTCTAGTCTGGATATTCTTGAACCTGGTCCACTAGCGCCAGGTCTACCTTCATCCCTACACAGAATATATACAGATAAATATCCTCCTCTAGTCTGGATATTCATGAACCTGATCCACTAGCTCCAGGTCTACCTTCATCCCTACACAATGTATATCTAGATAAATCCTCCACTAGCCTGGGTATTCATAAACCTGATCCACTAGCTCCAGGTCTACCTTTATCCCTACACAATATATATCTAGATAGATCCTCCTCTAGCCAGCATATTCTTGAACCTGATCCACTAGCTCCAGGTCTATACCTTTATCCCTACACAATGTATATCTAGATAAATTCTCCTATAGTCTGGATATTCATTAACCTGATCCACTAGCGCCAGGTCTACCTTTATCCCTACACAATGTAAATCTAGATAAATCCTCCTCTAGTCTGGATATTCATGAACCTGATCCACTAGCTCCAAGTCTACCTTTATCCCTACACAATGTAAATCTAGATAAATCCTCCTGATCCACTAGCGCCAGGTCTACCTTTATCCCTACACAATGTAAATCTAGATAAATCCTCCTCTAGTCTGGATATTCATGAACCTGATCCACTAGCTCCAAGTCTACCTTTATCCCTACACAATGTAAATCTAGATAAATCCTCCTTTAGTCTGGATATTCATGAACCTAATCCAATAGCTCCAGGTCTACTTTTAACCCTACACAAAATATATCCAGATAAATCTTCCTCTAGTCTGGATATTCTTTAACCTGATTCACTAGCACAAGGGTTACCTTTATCCCTACAGGATGTATACCTAGGTAAAAATCCTCCTCTAGCCTGGATATTCTTGAACCTGATCCACTAGCTCCAGGTCTACCTTCATCCCCATACAATATTTATCTAATTAGACCCTCTTCTAGCCTGCATATTCTTGAACCTGATCCACTAGCGCCAGGTCTACCTTCATCCCTACACAATATATATCTAGATAGATCCTCCTCTAGCCTGCATATTCTTAAACCTGATCCACTAGCTCCAGGTCTACCTTTATCCCTACACAATGTATATCTAGATAAATCCTCCACTAGCCTGGGTATTCATGAACCTAATCCAATAGCTCTAGGTCTACCTTTATCCCTACACAATGTATATCTAGATAAATCCTCCACTAGCCTGCATATTCTTGAACCTGATCCACTAGCTCCAGGTCTACCTTCATCCCTACACAATATACATCTAGATAGATCCTCCTCTAGCCTGCATATTCTTGAACCTGATCCACTAGCTCCAGGTCTACCTTCATCCCTACACAATATATATCTAGATAAATCCTCCTCTAGCCTGTATATTTTTGAACCTGGTCCACTAGCTCCAGGTCTACCTTCATCCCTACACAATATATATCTAGATAAATCCTGCTGTATACAAGAAAGAACGCCGCCTGAATCAAAGACGAGTTTAATGTGTTCACGTTGTTCTCATTTTTATTCAAATTCTCTGTGAAGGTGCACACACATATATATATTTATATATATATATATAACCTTGAAATCAATATTAAAGACAAAGCTTTACTTTTCTAGCAGGCTTCATTCCATTCACGTGTAATTTATGCTGGTTGAGCAAATAATCATATTTTATTCATAAAACCACAGGGCTAAAAACAAAATATTGATAAAGCTGCAAGTATTTTCTTATATTCTAAAGAGGTCAAAATTTAAAAGAAAGATTTAGTTGAACTTTTAAGGCTTTAACTTTTATATGATACAGTTTAACCTAGAATTTTGGAGACATCAAAAGAATTTATAAATTTTCGTTTTCTAATCCTACTGATAATGGAATGCAGCAGATATTCAGTTTTTAATTGAATAATTATCTTGAAGAATCTATGTAAAAATATAGCACAATGCATGCATACAGGGTGCCCTAATAAACATGGCAATTCAAGATTGACTAAGGATGTTATTGGAATCACAGGAAGTGCTTCTGTTAAACTGCGTGGATGGACCATTTTTATTTAGTTAATGCTTAATGTTTAAATTGTCAATTTTGTGGGACACCGCTTAATAGGAGCTAACCCCCCCCCCGCCAACTCTGTCATTCTGTTTAATATTTATCGTACATAAAGTAATTTTTGTTTACCTTAATTTTATTTGATTTCGTTCAAGTAGTTTCTCTATGTGTGCAGCTTTAGCACGTTCCTCTCTACACTCCTGCTCAGCCACCCTAGGCACATGTATGGTGTTAGACATGTACATAAATCAGCTTTACAACATTGTATGCAATTATGTAGTAATGTCATTTTTCCTACACTTTTGTTGCATAGAAACACATATGCAGTAATTGTACATTGAGAATTTGAAGAAAGATTGAATTGAAACGTTTTCACACCCAAATTGGCAGTTTTTTATGGTCAGCAGGGAAATGAACAGTTTACGGACAATGTACTTAAATGCCCATCATCGTACAGTTGTGTCCTTATTTAAAACTAATGATTTGAAAAATATTGATCACCGGGGCCAGGGTTATAATGCAAAGAAATTTATTTCAGAGGTGTACGCATTTTTTGTACTGCAGTGTACTGTCTCTGGGCGGTAATGTAAACACAAGACGGATGTCACAGCCTGACATGGGTTCCATCTTTCACACAAAAAATCAATGAAATATTCTGGTCATAGGAAACTATTATGTGAATTAACAAAATTTTCAAAATTCAACGCTTTTATCCTCCTCGGATACTAAACGAAAACTGATGCATCTATTCTTGTTTACAAATTCCGCCCAGAGAGAACTGGTTTCAATATATACGCAGAGTTTACGCAACTGCAATTAACTTTCCTTCTATTATAATCTTGACCGGGGTATTTCTACGATTTTGCGTTATTTTTGAATATTTTTTTACCATTTGAAAGTTCCTACATACAGGGTGTCCCACAAAACATGACAGTTGGTAAATAGTTTAGAATGTCGTCTTCCATAAGTTGTTTAATTCTTATATCAAAGACAAATGAAAATATTACAGTGAAACCCTTAATAACGAATACATCGAAAGAATTCATCAAATGTCGTATTCTTCACTTTCAGATAATGGAATGTTGCAGATACAGGGTGTCCCACGAAACATGACAGTATGCAGGACGACTTGAATGTCGTCTTGATTTTTGATATAATTTGCTGCGTTCATTTGTCAACCTAATTTTAGAAGTAAATTTCTAGAGATAATAATCACAAAATTTCCCTTGCCCTGCCATTTCCAAAATGTGGTCTGCCTTTTTTGTGCTTTCAATATAGCCCGAGATATGAAGAATTTCGTTCAGATTTCGACAATTTTGCTTTTATTTAACAAAATTGAATTCTGAACCAAACTCTTTATATCTCCAGTAATATTGAAAGCACAAAAAAAGCAGACCACTTTTTGGAAATGCCAGGGCTAGGAGAATTATGTGATAATTGTTTCAAGAATCATACATGTTAAAGTAGATAGAAGACTAAATGTCACAAATAAATTCAAATACCAAAGACGACTTTCAAGTCGTCTTGCTATTGTCATGTTTCGTGGGACACCCTGTACTTAGTTTTTTAATTAAATGATTATATGGAACTCTTTAAAACTGTTCCCGCATATAAATGGCTATTTATTTATTTTCGCAAATACTGAAATTTACGTAATATAGTATAAAACTCATTGAAAAATTGCCAAGACGACATTTGATAAATTCTTTCGATGTATTCGCTATTAAGGGTTTCACTGTATATAGGAGTCATGCTATCGTAAAATTAATTTCTAAGTAAAGTATATTTGAGCAAAAGATTTTTTAAACGAAATAAACTGCAAAAAGCCTTTACTATCTAATACAGTGTATAGAAGACGACATTCAAAAGTATCTACCTACTGTCATGTTTCGTGGGACACCCTGTACATCGTTTTCTTTTTAAAATTAAAAGTAACAATAAGCGTTGTTCTAATTGAGCTTCTATGCAAAATAAAACTGCCAGATTCACATCGGTAAACTGAATCAGAGAACTCTCTATTTATCTTGATAAAAATTCTACTGAATCAGGTATTTTAAAGTTTACAAGCTATTTTTTTGTTAAACCTATTTCAACATGACTTCTAAATACCAAGCGTAGAAAAAAATGTATAATAATCGAAAAGAACAGGGTCTGTGATAGCAGGATTTTATATTAGTGGCTTTCATATAACATTTAAAATCAAATAATTTTTGCAATTTTCTGTTAAAACAAATTCGTTCAATCGTTTTTTAATAGATAAAAAACGATTTTTTTATCATCCTCTATCTTTCAAAGGTTTAAACGATTCCTTTGGGAATTTGGTTCTCTGCTCTAGTATTGAGCTAAGTAAAGATTTAACCTAGTTCTCTGCTCTAGTATTGAGTTGAGTAGAGATCTAACCTAGTTCTCTCTTCTAGTATTAAGTTGAGTAAAGATCTGACCTAGTTCTCTGCTCTAGTATTGAGTTTAGTAAAGATCTAACCTAGATCTCGGCTCTAGTATTGAGTTAAATAAAGATCTAACCTAGTTCTCTGCTCTAGTATTGAGTTGAGTAGAAATCTAACCTAGTTCTCTGTTCTAGTATTGAGTTGAGTAAAGATATGACCTAGTTCTCTGCTCTAGTATTGAGTTAAGTAAAGATCTAACCTAGTTCTCTGTTCTAGTATTGAGTTAAGTAAAGATTTAACCTAGTTCTCTGCTCTAGTATTGAGTTATATAAAGATCTAACATAGTTCTCTGCTCAAGTATTGAGTTTTGTAGAGATCAAACCTAGTTCTATGTTCTAGTATTGAGTTGAGTAAAGATCTGACCTAGTTCTCTGCTCTAGTATTGAGTTAAGTTGAGATCTAACCTAATTCTCTGCTCCAGTATTGAGTTAAGTAAAGATCTAACCTAGTTCTCTGCTCTAGTATTGAGTTGAGTAAAGATATGACCTAGTTCTCTGCTCTAGTATTGAGTTAAGTAAATATCTAACCTAGTTCTCTGCTCTAGTATTGAGTTAAGTAAATATCTAACCTAGTTCTCTGCTCTAGTATTGACTTAAGTAAATATCTAACCTAGTTCTCTGTTCTACTACTGATTTGGTTAAAGATCTAACCTAGTTCTCTGCTCCAGTATTGAAAGTCTAGATGTGAGTAAACGAACCAACTCCCCAAGTCTCTTTTTCTCCACCTCTCCTGCTTTCCTCAATATATCTAGATCCGAGCATTTTCTAGCTAAATATTCTACATCTCCGTCCTTCACGTTCTCTTCTAAAATTTTAAATGAGTTTGTTAGTCCTACACTTGCTCTCTTCACTTCACCAAGCTTTTTTCCACTTCCAGGTTTACTGTTAGGCTTACTTTTCTCCGATATTGAATCACTGTTAGCTCTAGTCCGTGCTCTTTCTACAGATTCACTTTCAAGTAAATATTCTTCTGTTATTCCGTTGGTTTGCCTGGTTTCTATTAGACCCTGGAGATAGTCCACTGTTTGTTGGAGAACTAGAATTTGTTCTGCTCTCCCAACCCAACCTTTCTCCTCTCCGGAAAGGATGGATTCCAGCTCGCTTGCTCCAACTTCACGTCCTAATACTTCCTTTAATCTATCCAGCTCCTTGTTCAGGGATAACACTTGATTTCTGTAAACCTTTAGCTTCTTCTGTAGGACTGGAGACTGCTCCAAGTCCTGTTTTCCACCTGGAGTAGGTGCTCTGCTTCCTGCAGTACCAAGTCTGGAGACAGCTGAGCTTATCCTGCTGGTGGAGAAGGATCTAGTCATCCGAACCTCTGAGTTACCCCCGGCAGACCCGGAGCTGCCGCGGTTTAAAACTTTAGGTTTGGATTGATATATCTCTGGATGCTGCTGATTAGACTCCTCAATATTTTTCGCCAACTCTTCTGAATTCCCTGAAAAATGTCATTTTAGGATCAATTTTGATAAAGATTCTGAAGTATTTTTTTAGAAATCAACTTAAAAAAAGATTCTAGTTTGTCGATGAAATGAACTATCTATTTATTAAGTGTCTTATCTGTAAACTAACTATTATATTTTTTTAAATATCCTTCCTACATTTGAACTGTAGAACTGTCCTATAAATCAATTGTCTTATTTATGAAGTGGCACATTAGATATCCTACCATTGAAATGTCATATCTTCGTATAAATGTCTTATCTATAATATGTCCTCCCTATCTCTGAAATGTATTATATCCTGAAAAAATCCCAATATAATCCCACCTACCTGTTCTCCAGACAACGTCCTCCGTGTTTCCTTCCTTGAGCCTGATCATCAACATCTTGTTCTTCCCTTTCTCCTTCTCCAATTGAGTTCTAAAAAAATACTTTATTATTGAAAACTTAATATTTTTAAACGACGGAAATGTGTTTTTGTCTCAAACTGATTTTCTAATCCCTACTTCTTTGCAACCCTATGTCGTATAAACCTTTGATAATTGAAACTTTGAAATCCGTTAGAAAAATAGTCGTAAGTTTAAAATATAAGAGGTTTACACCTTCAGGTTGCAAAGACATAGGAATTAGAAAATTTGAGTTTGTGGCAAACACTCTACTGAAACCTACTGCAAATTACTACAAAACACACCGTAATCTTAACTGAGTTAGGCTCGAATCCTTTTAGCAAAATTTTTATAATTTAAAAAAAGATATGGAACGAAACGTTATCATAAAACATGATACAGAATTATTAGATTTCACATTTCATTCTTTTTGTTATGAGTTTGCTCTTCATTTTGTTTCCTTATGATGGATTGCTCTCTATCTCAGTATATCGTTCAAATCGGATTTTTTGAATTATTTTTGAGATTTGGTTTTTTTCTTCTTTTAAAACATGTTTATTATAATATACAACAACTAGCTGAAGTGCTTATGATATACAAAATTCAAACTTTAAAGAAAAAAATTTATTTTTGAAAAATTTTATAGAAGATTTGTAACAACATATAGCGACTTAATAAACGTAATCAATACATACAAAATGATGAATATTACAATGTTCAATTATTTATGAGGGATTTGAAAAAGGTCAAAAAACAATAAAGAAAAACTCTACCTGACAATTTTTAATTCTTTCTCTAGCTTTTTAGAAAGTTCAACATTAATCTCAATCTTCTTCAATCGTTCATTTTCATTGAATAATCTCAAATTCTCGTCCGTCAATAACCTTAATAGAATTAGAATAAGAATTTTAGATAAATATAATATTTTGAAAGACGAGATTACATTGGATTTTCATATAATCTATAGAAAATTTCGTAATCTTTATTGATAATTCGAAAATGGATTTTCTACAGTTTTATAAAAACTACGCTTCAGAGAGACGGCTGGATTTTATGAGATTATATTTAGTGCAGAAGGCATAGTTTAGCCTTATACTCTGGTATTTAATAGAACGTTGTTAAAATCTAATGTTTTATACAGCGAGACTCAAAACTGTGAAATAGGAAGACGACAGTTAGATTAAAGTTATTTAAATAGTCCCATAACAACATCAAATACAAAAAAAGATTGCTCAAATGTCGTCTTCCTATTCAGCAGTTTTATGGGTCTCACTGTATCCTTTTTATTTTTGTAACTTTTTGAAGAAGTTGTATGTAGGGTTTATAGTCTTAAAAATAAGGTAATTACAACATTCCAATTGAGTCTTATATGAATAAATGAAACATCTTGGATACTGATGACGTATTGTTAATTGAATAGATTCCTCCTTTGTTAAAAACTAAAATTATTATCAATTAAGAAATATCCATTTTTGGGAACTTTCTAGTTAATTAACTTTTTTTGCATTGTTATGCATTAGATAAATTTTTGAAATCTAACAAAGAACACAAAAAGAAGCTTAGAAAAGACGATTTTCCACAGTGGGAAAAGTTGATGTTTAATTGATGACAAATCAAAATACATTTTTGGCAAGATTACCTCATATGTGCTCCAATATAACGTTTGGCATCATCAGTTAGACCAGCAGACTGACTAGCCTTCTCCAGTATTGAGGTTATACCGTAGGCTGACTGCAATATCAATCAATTAATCAATTTCAGATTTAGTTCAAAAGATTACTTTTTCTCAAAAGCTTTTCTTATTAATTGAGTTTTTGAGGGCGGAAAAAATATTTTAAAGATCCAGACCCAGAAAACTGTATAATTGAAAGACGACATTTTATCGATTATATGTGAATTCCATGTAATAAAGCAAACGGTTTTACTTGTAGCTTGGAAAAAACTTATTATGTACAGACACTGCGAAATTGCTGTGCTTAATGTTTATAGGGCTTTTTAAAATTCTAGAAAAAGTCTGAACAGTTTTCTTCATCTTCCACACTTTTTTTGGTCCCATCGTGTCTTTTCATATTTTGGACATGTGTTTGATACAATCTATTTGAAAATGTTTCTAAAATATGATAAAAATAAGAATTATACCTTGGCTCTTTGGCTGGATTTTTTTGGCATGCTTGGAGATATGAGGACGAACGTGTCTTGTCGGTTGAGAGGAGGTTTCTTCTTCCCATGCTTCTCCTTCTTCTCCGCAACCTTGCCCCCGGATTCTTCAACCTTCTCAGCAATATCTGAATACTGGAGCTCGGACTCGGAACCGTAACTAAAACATGATATTTGTATGCCGCTAGAGATATCAACACTCTTGAAACTTTTCTAATTAGATTCAACCAAGATCTCAGCTGAGCAATTCATTAGTTTTTACGTTAGTTCATTTAAACGCAAGCAGTCAAAAGTTGGAATTCAGCAACACAAAACACTTAATCTCGATATCTACAATGGAAACTTTTAAATGTGAGGAATGAGTACTCATATCCTCAATTTCAATTGCTGGACTCTGAACTTCCGGCCACGGCATATTGAAGAGGAGTTAACCCTTCAAACGACAAAAGATATGGAAAACTGCTTGATCCAGGGATTAAACAAGATAACTGCTTGATCCAGGGATTAACAACACATAAGTTCTGACCTCTGGTTTGTTTTTTTAGGGATTTTCAAATATCGTTAATCCCCAAAAAACCCTGAACTTATCAAAATGTTGTCTACCGCATCCAACTTAAAAAATACGATTAAAACGTTAGAAATTGGGCAAATTGAACTTTTCTCTTCTTGTTGTAGTTTAACCGGATATAATTTACATATATGCATATAGATACAAAAATACATACAAAGTTTGACAATGAAATGAGAAAGACGACTTAAAGCCTTAAATAGTACACTGAAAAATAGCTAGTATTGTTCAGTGTAAGCAGACCCATTTAATGTGTTACTATAGTATAGTAAAACTTATTATTTTATCAAGGATTATCTCTTTGAAATCGTCTTCCTATTCCACAGTTTTCTGAGTATATATATATTTACCTAACTGTGTCGAAATCTTCATGATAAAGATCATCAGTTTCAGTCATACCAACATCTAGTTCAGGGGCACATATATTAATCCAGTAGATAGATTCATCATTTTCAATATCAACCTAGGAGCTGATAAAAATTATTATTTTCAGTATCAACCTAGCAGATAACAAGGTTTAAACATTTTAAGTATCAACCTAGCAGATAATGAGGTTTAATCATTTTCAGTATAAACCTAGGAGATAATAAGGTTTAATCATTTTCAGTATAAACCTAGTAGATAATGAGGTTTAATCGTTTTCTGTATAAGTAATTTTAAATAATTCTCCATTTCCTGAATGGCATATCCGATTCTTAACGATACCCTTTAAACTTCCAACTGAACAATTTCCTTTTTATTTTTGTTGCAGAAATCTGCAAGTCACCTTTATAGAGAAACCACAATTGAAAATGATCAATTTTAAGCGTAATAAAGGATATCCCATGCATACTTTATCAAACAAAGGTTTAAAGGGTACCTTTGTAAATCGACATGCCGCTACAATGAAGGGTTTCTTAAAATTTCGTTAACAGTCCCTTAAATATTGATGTCAATAGTTTTCTAGAACAAATTTAGACAAATTGACAACACTCCTGATGTTGCCAATTTGTCAAATATCTTAAGCTCTAATTTCCTAATCATTATATTTTCCAACCTAAAAATTTTAAACTTAGAAATTTCAAATTTTGACTGTTAGATCTAGCAAAACTCAATATTTAAAAAATCAAGGTTTACACTATCAGAGTTAATTGCATGAAGGGTTATAAAATAAGAATTTGTGACGAGTAATAAGTTTGTTTCTTTAATTAACTGTCATCTACTTCTCTCTTGAACCTAAGAAGGCTGAGAGAAGATTAATGATGAAAAGGGCTGCAGAGAATTCCCCTTTTCATCAAGTGTTACAGATTATTTAATCCAGAAAAGAAATAAATACCAAGTTTGTTTTTTTACTTATTTTTATATTAAGATATTCATAAACATCTTGTATCTATTTTCATCACTTTGTTAAACTTTCTACTTAGTTTCACTTTATGTATACTTGGTTAGCTTTGATATGTTTTGTTTGAATTGAAATGTGGGAAACCCCTGTCTACACTATACAATATATAGCTCGTAATATCATCAATAATGGATTAGTTATAATAGTTACCGACTTGATATCCAGGTTCTAATGTGTACATTGACAGGGTTGGGTTTCCTTTCTCCGGGATGCTGAAATATCTGGGATGCCTGAACCAGACTCAGGATTGATCTGGGAGAGGATAGTTTAAGTTGAGAGGATCTGGAGGATCTGTTGAACCCGGAGGATTGAGGAGGAACGGAATCTATACTGAACCGTGGGTACTGCTAGGTTTAGAAAGCTACTGGAGAATTAATATTCAAATATTGTCCGGCTACAAGGTATGGGTTGGGTACCTTGGAAACCAAACACCCGGATACATTAAACTAATTTTTATACTCGAGTTTTTTACTATTTATTGACAGATATCAAATATACATTGGTAGAATTAATATCTATTTATCATATTCATCAATCTTTAAACTGATATAGTCATGAACCTTTACACTCCAGATGGAACCATGAACCTTTAAACTCATTGAACCGAGAATCTTTAAACTCTTGATGAAACCATGAATCTTTAAACTCCTGATGAAACCATGAATCTTTAAACTCCTGATGGAACCAAACACCTTTAAACTTCTGATGATACAATGAATCTTTAAACTCCTGATGGAACCATGAATCTTTCAACTCCTGATGGAACCATGAATCTTTAAACTCCTGATGGAACCATGAATCTTTAAACTCCTGATGGAACCATGAATCTTTAAACTCCTGATGGAACCATGAATCTTTAAACTCCTGATGAAACCATAAAGCTCCTGTTAAAACCCAAAAATATTTGAATAACCTACGTTAAGTCTGTCCAAGGTCTGTTTAGTAGTTTATAGTAATTAATTAACTGCAGAATTAAGAGATTAGATCTAGTCTGCACTCTGCAGTCTCAACAATGCAATAGAAACTTGAGTTTAAGGTTTGGAATAAAAACTTCGTGGATTTTATTTTTTTACGACTTTCTAATGTCGTCCTCTGAGTATTTTTTCTGGCTGTCTTTATTTTACAAGAAATGTGTACTACAGTTCATGGGGTTATTGACAACAATCTAAGTTGTTCAAAAAACTGCTTCTAGATTTGTAGATTTAAATCCTTTGCTTTATATTTATTACAACTAGAGTCTTTCAGGGTGCTTCGAGCCTAGCATTTACTTCAACTTGTTTTCGTGGATATATTTAAAATTATACGAATATCAAAATTTTTGTAATTCTGAGCATTCATTAACCTTCTATGGGTTTACGTGAGTTACCATAAAAAATGGGACCGATCGGTTCATTTGTTTTTGGCATTTATTGCGACGTAAAATATTTAAATTAAATAATAATGCATTTATGCCGAGCTGATAGGATTTTACTCCATTCTGTTTTCTAATTTTACATATAGTTAATACATGTGTGACACCCCGTGATATACAGTTCGCTTGGACCAAAACACGATATTTTATATCTCTAAGCATCATGCCCAGTTGGTTCAGGGCTTTGTGCAGTGTCTGGCTTCTATATATTTGCGTACTATTGCGTATTCTGAATACTGCGTATATGTGCTACGCAACAGCCTGTTTTTTTTCATATTATAAATACATCATAAATATCTTCTTGAAATTTAATTAACCCTGCATAAAACTATTGAATAAAAAAACGACTGAGAGACTCAAGTTGTGATTTTGTTTAAATCTATATAATAAAACAAAACATTCGTATTTGTCCCAGAAAGACGTCCAAAAATTCCAAAAAAATCATTTTTTTCTTCTTTAAAATTCAGATTTTTTTTATTTCACGGGCAATGCCGAGCACTCCAGCTAGTAGGTCAATAAACATAGAACAGTAATTGTGCAGTGGAGACAGATCCAGATTTTATAGGATCTAAATGTATCTAATTTTGAATATTATTTGGCAAAAGTCAATCCTTTGCCCCCCCCCCCCCTCCTTCTCAATACTATCCTATTACCCTACCCCTTCTTAGCCCCCCCTCCCCTACAACCACCTGTTTACTCTGTTTCCTCAAGTGTACTATAGGTTGTAAGTTAACCGATGCGTAGTGATCTAATTGATAAATCTAGATATATCTGAACCCATTTTTTTTATTTGCCTCATGCAATTTTTTAAATGATTTCATATTTTAAACTTCTCCGTTATGTCCTTAAAATCCGAAAATAGAGATACCCACAATATATGGGGCCACCCTGTGGTTTAAACCGAAAATATGAAATGGGACACCCTGTAGTTTAAACTAAAAACTTGTATATTGAGTATACATCTACCTCTCTTACAGTCAACAGTATCAATACAACTAAAATAAATTTTGTTTTTTAGAATTTTAACTAATTATCTGTAACATGAAAAAGCAATGTAAGAATGTCTTTTTTGAAAGTTACATTTTCATATTTCCATATATACTATATATACTATATATACTATATATACATATACTATATATACTATATATACTATATATACTATATATAGTATATATACTATATATACTATATATACTATATATACTATATATACTATATATACTATATATACTATATATAGTATATATACTATATATACTATATATACTATAGATAATATATATACTATATAGGGCCAAAAATGGTGAGAAGTGTACTTTTTTCGCGATTTACCGACAAATTTTTTGCTGGTTTCAAAAACAGGTAAAAATCATGTTAAGAAAAATTTTCATTCCAAACTTAATTATGTCATTCTGGAAAAAAATTCGAAATTATGCTACGGTGAAACAGAAAATAACCATTTAGGAGTTGCTTAGCAGAGTTCAGACAATTTACAAGTACTACCTTTCCTGAGCTGGCAGAGTTTGGAAATATCTCCAGCCATGAAGATCTTCATAAATTTAGTATACAACGTCCAGACAAATTCTGGAGTGTTCTTGCAAGGTATTTAAGATATAATTCGGATATCGACACTATGAAACGGACAACAGGTGCAATATTCCTTTTACTGTTTGTTCTTAATACCTGTATTTCTAGGTCTAGGCTAAAATGGGAAACAGATTTCCACACTCCGATGGACTGCGATTTTAGAACAGGAAAATTCAATTGGTTTCTTGGCGGGAAATTAAACATTTCAGTAAACTGTGTGGATAGGTTAGTTACAGGATTTAGAGGCTAGGAAATCAGAATGTCGTCTTTAAAAATTAGTTAAATTAATTGAGTGGTTAAGGAGATCATGTATACCTTACATCCAAAGATTACTGAATAGAAATAGATAATAGTAAAAGATAAACCTGAATATGTTTTAACCAATTTGACAAATTTAAAATGTATAATCATATTTTATATGAACGTTTATCCTCGGATTTTTATCATAATAAACTCTATTTATTATTATATATCTAATATAAAAATTTTAAAAATGTGGTCCACATGTTAATCATAATACTTATAAGCTTGAATAAATAAACTAAAAATTATCAAATGATTCAATATATTTCATTTAATATAAATTTTTTTTTTAAGTATCTGAATTTTTGAGTATACGTAGTTGTATCAAGAAAACTATAAAATGAATAATGATTGTCATCTGTTAGACAAAAATTACAGGCATAAAATATATTATTTTTGTAACTTTTCTAACATTTGTTAAAGAATTGTATAAAAATGTGTAGATGGGCTGAGGTTGACCCTGAGAGGATAGCTCTGGTTTGGGAGAAGGATGAACAGGGTGAGGTGGAGAATGTTTCCTATTCTCAGCTCCAGGATATGGTGGGACGGATTGCAAACACGCTCAAACAGGTTTAGGTTCGCCTCAGGGAGAAATAAGGGTGTATACAGAGGGGGGGGGGAGGAAAGAAGGCAATCCCCACCCTAGTTTCCCCCTTTAAATATCATTTTTCCCTCCTAAAGCTGGAAATCACAGATTCTTCAATTCCACATTTTTTAACATGCCCCCCTCTCCCCCCCCCCCATCCCTGCGATCGATATCGAATTCAATTCGACATCAACTTACCCCTATCATGTTTACACGAACACTCTTCAAATCAAATCTATATTTAGGAAATATGCTGAGAATTAAATTTTGCATAAATATTGCTAATGTAAAACCGAACTAAGAAATTTGCATGTTTCATATCATTTGAAGATTTTTTTAATTTATCAAAAATTGTTCTATTTTTTAATTTTAAAAAAAAATTGTACAAAAATTAAAACTGTACTATTTTCTTGAGGCTGGTGTTGGAGTTGGGGATGTAGTTGCTCTTTATATGCCAATATCTCCTGTAGCAGTAGCTAGTATGCTAGCTACTGCTAGAATAGGTATACTTATCATATCAATAAAACAAGATTTACATGAGAGTACAATACACAATGCACATTTAGGATATCTACTTTTGGTTAATTATGAACCTAAATTAAGAACATACAAACTTAAATCAGAGATCAAAACCTTCATACGTGGCTTTTTCTGGCCGCATCACGCGGCGGCTTCTGCCATAGCTGCAGCAATCGGACAATTCGAATTTTCATATTACATGTAAATATATTTTCAGGTGCTGTACATACGGTAGTTTTTGCAGGTTTCTCAGCAGAAGCTTTAGCAGCCAGGTCATTTTTAAAAATTGTACAATGTACATGCATCTATATATACTTTGCTTGTCTGGGTGTTTGTTTGTTTGTTTGTATCCAACAAACAAACAGACAGCTAAACCGATCGGGCCCAAATTTTGTGTTTGACCTCACATGACCCCGGGGAAGGTTATGGATGATCAAAATTTAAAAATTAACCTCCAAGTAAATTCGATTTTTAATCAATTTAAAAAATCAACAACAATTATTTTTATTAAATCCGCGATTTTTTTGTTTTGTTTTTGTTTTATAACATATACAAAGAGGAAATGTTCACAATTGAAATAGAAGATGGACGCGAAGCGCCCTGACAGCCTTGTACTCTACATGTACATAATACATATCCTCTCCACCTGTGAGTTATGTACAGGATAACACAAAAATAAAATTGAAGACCAAAAAATATATGTTGTTTGATATTTTTGATAAAAGTGAAGAATATTTTTATGATTATTTTTAGGGTTGAAGATTCAGGGGCCAAGGTTCTAATTACAGCTGACGAATCAGTTAGAGGTGATTGTCGGAAAAGATTATAAATATCTTATTTTTACCCTTCTATAATATATAGTAGAGCTTAGACATTTCAAACTATCAATTCTGTTAGATCAAATAATCTAAGTTTGAAATATAACAGGTTTACATCATCTGGTTGCAAAGGGATAAGAAAATTTGAGCTTGTGGCAAAAACTTAGTTTTTGGCTTATTTTGAGTCCTGAATCCTGTATCCTGCACCCTGTATCCTGTATCATTTATCCTTTATCCTTTATGTATATTGCATATGATGTATCTTGTATCATTATTCTGTATCAGGTATCCTGTGTTCTGTATCTTATTCCTCTAACTGTATAATGTCATGTCTTCCGTATCCTGTATCCAGTATCCTATATACTGTATATATTGTATCCTGTACCTTATATTTTTTTCCTGAATCTTGTATCCTATATTCTGTATCGTGTATCCTGTATCTTATATCCTGTAGGAGGACGGAGAACTCCCCTGAAAAGAACTGTTGATACTGCTCTGGAGAAATGTGAGACTGTAAAGACTGTTTTAGTAATGAGAAGAACAGGAGCAGAGATTAAAATGAAACCAAACAGGTTTAAAACAAGATTATATTGTAGTATTTAATATTCAATTTTTAATAACGCAATGCATATGTACTACAATACTATGTAGGTTCAAATGAATATATATAAATGTATATGGATGAATGTATAGAGATGAATGGTTGGATGAATGCATATGGATGAATGTATAGTGATGAATAGTTGGATGACTGTTTATAAATGATTGTATAGGGATGAATGGTTGAATGGTTGGATAAATGTATATAAATGAATTTATAGGGATGAATGGTTGGATGAATGTATGCTCCGTAGCTCTCCTATCTGTGCTCCTAAATCTATGAACTCAGAAGATCCTCTTTTCCTTCTGTACACTAGTGGGAGCACTGGAAAACCTAAGGTTAAAGAGACTGTAGACGTTATTTTAAAGGACCCTTCATTATAGATTAACATGTTCGATTCACGGCATGGAGTGTACAATGTGATCTCGTGTTTCTCTTCTATTTATATGTCATCCTTGTAAAGACAATTTCATAAATTTAAATTTAAATTTTTTTGCTACGACTTTTAGAAAGTAGATATTTTATATCTCTTAATTATAAAAGTGTTCAGCAATTACAACAATTAAAGGAGTTTCTGTAGATTAAATAAAGGATAGACCCGTCATTCTTGATCAGTAAAAGTTTTAAAGGTACTGTTGTGAATCGGACACGCCACTCTGTACTAATGGAGGATCACTTGACATTATGCTTACAGTCCCTTGGAGGATTATGCAGTACACACTAAACAATCCACTTTTTATATAACAATAAAAATTTTATTCTGATTTTTTTTTTTAAAGGGTGTCTCCCATAGTTCTGCTGGGTATCTACTGTACGCTATGGTTACCATGAAACATGCATTTGATTATAAACAGGTGAAATATTATTATTATCCTTATTATTATTATTATTATTATTATTATTATTATTATTATTATTATTATTATTATGTGGTAGGTGATTATATCACTACAATGAAGACGACTTTCGATTTTTATTTTGATTTATATAAATCTGTTATTGTGAAGCAGCATGGACATACAAAAACATAGATTTCAAAAGAAACTTTCAATTAAAAAGATTCTCTTTGATTAATTGTTGAGTTGTACTTCGAAAAAAGCTTGTTGACAATCAAAACTTAAATAAAAAGTCGTCTTTATTGTTTTGATATAATTGCCTACCACTGTATTATCATTATTTTAGGGTGAATTGTTTGGTTGTGTAGCTGATATAGGCTGGATAACTGGCCATAGTTATGTTGTCTATGGACCCTTAGGTTTGCTAAAAAGAAAAATTAAAAATATGCACGAAGATAAATTATATTTTTGAAAATAATCTTTTCATTTCTTAAAGCATTAAAACAAATACCCAAAAATATTACCAAAATTTAATTAAAAACTTTAAAAGTATGACATAAAAACCAAAAAAATATATTATGGTTACACCTTCACATTTGTACTCGATATATCCACTTTTTCACTCAATAACTCGCTAATGCCGACGATCTATTTCTGACAGCCAGGTTTTCAATCTTTAATGATCCTGTAGCCTACGTTGCTTATTGGACGATTTTTAAAAATATTTTCTTTAGATTCCAAATGCTTCAGTTTTGAACTCCTAAAGAAATTGAGTCTTTGACATAAACTTTAGTTTTCTAATTCATATATCTTTGAACCCTAATGCTGTTGACCTTAGATATTTCAAACTATGAATTCTGGTGGATCAAATAATCTAAGTTTAAAACATCAAAGGTTTACACCATCAGGTTGCAAAGAGATAGGAATTAGAAAATTTAGTTCGTTGCAAAGATTGAAAGGGGTAAAGCGGGACTCTGGTCATTTGGCTGCTTTATTCACTTTGTATTTTATTTTTAAATTAAATAAACTTCCCGCAAGTCATTGATTAGGCTAGACTTTTAAACACTAATTCAAGTGACATGTTTATTTTAAGGAATTGCTCGTATACTGAAACTTAATTTCAACTTAAATTCTTTACAATTAGCAAAATTTCATTTAAAATAAAAATTTCTTCACAAATAGTTGATGCGTTTTTTATCAAGCAAGTAATATCTTTATATATGCATCTTAATATCAAAGTTCTCAACTGATTTTTATAGCCAATAATGTAAAAATGTAAACACTGGAAAGGAATGAGCAAAAGTTCGTAATTTACGACCAAGTGCGGGTAAATGGCGGGAGTAACTATGAGTAACCTGGGCAACGCTGGGTTCCCAAGCTAGTAATACTTATATATATGTACATAAACACTAACATATTATTTTTTTGACAAATTATATCATACAGGGTGAGTCAAAAAAAGGGCGAATAGCGAGGTCTTGCATATTGTAAAGCATTTTTTTGGGTAATCTCATTTTTGTCAAATATGTTGGAAATTTTAGAATTTTTTTTAAGTCAATCTGATGGACCTTTTAAAAAAATCCTCAAAACTATTTTCACTTAAAGTTAGCACTGCGATTTAATGGTCTCAAGCTCTCAAGCAAAAATCGTTGAGAATTTTGCCAATTACTTCTAAAAAACCAAATCTAACAAGAAGTGCTTTACAGTGTTAAAATGTACATGTAAAGGGCTACAGAAAAGCATAAGTGAGTTAGAGCGGTAAAATCTAAGCTTAGGGCGTTGCGACACTTCAAAGTCAGCCCTGTCTTAAAAATTGATGAGACTGTTTATAAGGAGCCTGAATCTATGTGTTAGATGAGTAGAAAAATAAAAGTGCGGGAATTCATTATTTCTATCACGCTTTAAAATCAGATCAGATCAGCAATGTGCAATCCGCGCAATCAACATACATCTATATACAATGACCATAAAATTATTATTATTATTATTATTTCAGCCAACGGAGGAACCTCTCTACTTTTTGAATCTACTCCTGTTTATCCGGATCCAGGTATTCAAGCAATAGATCAATTTAGTAACAAAATATATTTTATTGGTTAAGTAATCAACAAAAGCTTTTATGATACAGTAAAGCTACTGTAATTTACGGTAATTGATCATTAATATAATTGATTGATTTATTAACTGATGTTTCTGATCCAGGTATTTGATCAACAAACTAAAATTTATCAATTGATCAATGTTTAAAGTTTTGGTAATTTTATATTTTAATCAATCCATTGATCCTGGTATTTGATGCAGTCAATTAATCAATCAATCAACTGAAGTTCTTTGATTTACGCATTGTAATATCTAATACATACTTGATTCGTATCTTTAATAATAAAATTAGAATATTCTGATAGATATATTGCTTTAGGAAGATATTGGGAGATGGTGGAAAGATTAAAAATAAATCATTTCTACGGTGCTCCAACTGCTCTTAGATTACTCATTGGGTCAGAACGTTTATTTATACTTATTTAAAACAAATATTTGTAGCAAAATAATCATTTTTCAAGTTTTATAAAAGGAGTACTTTACTACAGGGTGAGACTTAACAAAGGATTGTACAGATTTTGTTTAGTCCGTTTTCTTTCATTCAGGGTTCCGAGTAGGCCAAAACTGGCTTATTTCTGTGCTTAAAAATAATCAAAAAACTCAATTGAATACAGAAACTAAAAATCAGGGTTGAAAGCGTCATATTTTTTAGTTTTGGATCATCTTTACAGTCTCATCCTTTCTGGGTATCCCTTTTTAACTCTTTTTTATTCTCACGTCCCCTGTAAATAAATTTCATTGAGTGTATAAATGTTAAAACCGTTATAGTTACAGATGTTTATTTAATGAAAAGGAAAATTCAGAAAAAAAAAACAATTTGAATATTAGAGAAAAAACGCTTTTGCTTTGTTTACATTATCTACAAGTCAGGGCCGTAACTGGGGGTGGGGGGCGGTTGAAAAGGGGAAATGAACGCGATTTTAGTGTTTAAGAAGATATGAGAAACAATGTGAGTTGATTTTAAGAAAGCAGATTAAGAAGTGTAAAGTTAAGCCCCGAAACTATAAAAATTCAGAGATTTGTTAAAATATCCGTCATCCCGGATTTCTATTTCTTATCTCCATCCCAACTCCCCCTCCTCCCATCCTGACACTATCTATTATCACGTCCATAATGCTGGTGTTTTAGGTATGGAGACGAGTATGTTACAAAGTATGACAGATCTTCAATTCGGAAACTAGGATCAGTCGGAGAACCCTTAAATCAGGTATTCAGACACTAGAAGACGACATTTATTATTTTTCAGGAGTATACTCCTTCTTCAATTTAGGAAGCATGGCATTGGTTTCATTCAGTTGTTGGTGAGAAACGTTGTGATATTGTGGACACTTGGTGGCAGACTGAAACAGGAGGTGTGGCTATATCTCCCCGCCCATCTGCTCCCAACGCCCCATTGTCTCCGGGTAAGCCCCAGAGACCAATGTTTGGAATGAACCCTGTGCTCCTGGATGAAAAGGGAGAGGAGGTTCAGGGTTTAGGTGTATCCGGGTCCCTCTGTCTAGCTACTCCCTGGCCAGGGATTGCCAGAACTCTACACGGAGATCATCAGAGGTAAAGATGTAGAAAGAACCAGAAAACATTGGAAGGCAACTCAACTTTTTCAGAAAAATTCAACCAAAGTCAGAACTTTTGGGTTGCGAATCTCGGGATCAAGCATTGACCTCTATCTTGTGCAAACCGCGGATTAAATATTGACCTCTATCTTGTGCAAACCGCGGATTAAATATTGACCTCTATCTTGTGCAAACCGCGGATTAAATATTGACCTCTATCTTGTGCCCACATTAAATATTGAGATCAAGTGAGTTCAAAATTAACGAAATTTTCGACTTCAGAACATTTTAAGAGATAGTCCTTTGCAACTATTACGCATAGCAAAACTGTTCTGCAGGAATAGAAAGAATAAATTCCACAGTTTTTTGGTTCTCACTGTACGTAATTCTACTCTGAATGAACATAATAATTCTAATTGATTTAAGTAGAAAAAGGTTTTACTTAAAATGAAAAGTCCTCAGTTTTTACATCTTCTTTAGACATATTTTATCCTTGAAGTTTCAATTGTTGAGTTTCTAAAATAAACAATCCTCATAGGTTTGTTCAAACATACTTCTCCGCCTACCCTGGATACTACTTCACTGGAGACGGAGCTTTCAGGTTTAATTCTTTACTTTTAAAACTTTTCTTTGTATCTCTAAAAACTCTGAAAAAAGTGTGGATAGTACAATGTGTCCCACTAAACATAATGATTAACGACTTTTTTATTTGCGATCTAATAATGTGTCAAAAACTTGCTGCAATCTTAACCCTAAACAGGCTGGGGGGGGGAGTTTGACGCCCCCCCCCCCTTTAGTTTTATTTTGCCCTTTTCAACATTTCCGAGCGCCCAAACTTTTTAAGTTATCGGTATAATTTTTTTTCAATGAGCTTGCCTTGATAAATTGGTCTACAAACATGCATTTCAACACTATACCTATACTCTAAGGCTTTTTTATGAGGCCATAAATAGATTCAGACCCCCAAGCCTTTATAGGGTTAAAAAAATTTTTTATTCTTCGACAATTTCATGAAAAAGGCAGATTACGTTTCGGAAATGTCAGGACTAAGGGTAGGGGTGTTAACAGGAATGTGTCCAGGGGGGGGGGAAGGGTTAAATTGTTTTCTTTATTGAGGGGAAACCATAAATCTTACTGATCCTGGGGGGGATGAGCCTTCATAGCTCCCCCCTCCCGTGTACACCTTTCACTAAGGGTATGGATTTGTATTAGAATTAAGTTCCCGAAATATTTCCTTCAAATCATGTCATTCTCTACTTATCCAGAAATTATCATGCAAAGCATGGGAAACCTTGTAGATGAAAAGTTGCTTATTAATGCTAGTATAATCAACTATAAGTGGTTCAAACTTAATGTATTGTTGAAATTTGTGAATTTGGCAAATCTTACCATAATAAGGCCCAGATTTAATTAATAGCGAGGAGTAGCTGAACCACGCAGATGTAGTTGAACCAATTCTCCTGTGCACCGGTTCAAACTAGAGAGGAACGGTTCAACTATGTTTCGCTATTCCTTATTTCTTGAAAATATGAAAACTGTTTTGTTCAACCATTGAGATTGTAGTTATAATAGCTAAATTAGATGCACATACAGGGTTTCCCTCAAAGGACAAGGTTTCATGGACGACTGTATGGAATTTATGAAGTTTACTTTCTGGTTGCCTACAACAATTGTTTTCTTTTGGGACAAACCATGTGTTTCGCTACTTAGCGATTTCCCTAAAGACCTAATATATGTACCGTGTGGTATTTCTCAGGATTGGATCGTAAGACTCCCTTCTCTCAACGCTCTTCATAATAAAAAGGAAGATAGTAAGGTTCCGAACGTTTATTTCTCTGAGCCTTCAATCTAAACAAGTTTAATAAACCCACAGAAAAAGCTTTGAGTGAAAATCATACAAATATAACAAATAATCCACTCAGGCATTAAAAAACTGTAGCTAGGAACCAACAAACGAATACATAATCATCAATCATACTAGAATCAACCAATAAA